CCTCTAGCTCCCATGTGTCCTCGGAGGTGGTGCCTTTGTTCTGAAACTGCAGTCCCCAGCCTTGTCCCTGGTTGAAGCCTCAGGTGGCCCAGCCCCTATGTTCTCACCCCTACAGAGCCCCCAGGGTTAAGCCCCCTCCCTGGGAGCCCACTGCCCACCAGTCGCAGATACTGTCTGATAACCAACTGATTGTCCTGGAACGCGCATGTCACCCCCACGTCCCCCCATCCCCTGCCTGGACACCATCGCAGCCCCTCTACTGTTGCTCTACCCCCCCTTTGCCTCCTCATGGCCTGTTTTATCACCCAGCAGCCAGACTGAACCTTCTGAAGCCTTCTGAAGCCTTCATCAGACCACAGCACTGCCCTGCAGCGTTGAAAACCTTCCAAAGGCTTCCTGCTAGCCTCAGAACAAGACACATGGCCCTGCCTCGGTGCCCCCACCTGGCTTTCTGTCCTCCTCTCCTGCCGCCCCGTCTGACTTCCCTGCTCCGACCGTCCTGGCCTTCACGGTTCCGTGAACACGCGGGCTCGCTGCCGCCGCGGGGCCTTCACCCTCGCCTCCCCGCGGCCGGTCTTCTGGTCTCCCTCACTTCGGGAGAGCCTCTGCTCAAATGTCTTCAGAGGACCCCCCTCCGCCGCCTGCTTTCCCAGTCAGTCCCTCCCCCTCCCCCCGCTTTGTCCTTCTCGGCACCTGTCACCTGACAGGACAGCCTGTGTAATGTCTCTTCTGCTTTTTTCACTATTTACTGCTGTTGTTCTGCTGGTACCCAGCACAGTGCCTGACCCCCGTTAGCTGTCAGTCAGTAAATGAGGCCTCCATGCTCGAATGCACGTTCCCGTTTCCCTCTCAGTCTGCCGAAGCTCTGCGCTCACTCCAGGCTTCAGGGCCGGAAGCTCTGTGGGGTGGGAGTCATGGGGCCTGACTTCGTGACTCACTGTGTGACTCCGAGTGAGTCACTTAGCTGCCTGCTTCAAGTTGTAGGAATAGTGGATGAGACATAGACAGAAAGCCCTAAATGGGGTATAAACTTGGTTTTGAGTCCTGGCTCCAGCAGGTCAGCTGTGTGACCTTCGGCAAAATACATAACCTCTCTGTGCAGGTTCCTCATCTGTGAGATGGGAATAAAATAGCTCCCTTGAATCAGTCGAGCTTCTTGGTTGCAAACAATAGAACCTACCCAGTAGCTTCCTAAAGGGCTATGGGGAAGCTCTCACAGGTTCAAAAGGAAGGTGGAAAGCCCAAAACCAAGGTGACCAGGACACAAGGAAAAAAAGTCCTCCGGAAATTATCACCGACACTGCCAACCCTGGACCCCAGGGCCACAGACCCTGCCGGCCTTCCTTGAAGACACAGACTCCTAGGCAGGTGCCTCTGATTGGTGAAGTTCAGGGGCTGGGACTGGAAGTAGAAGAGGCCGGCCCCAGCATCACACAGTGGGGAGCTTGCCGAGCGAGGTGGAGACAGCTGTCCACCACATCGCGTGCCACGGGCTGTTGTGCAGATGAAGACTTAATGCAGGACTCTCTTCTACAGCTGGTGGGAAACTGCCTGGCGGAATCCACTGGAGTTAACATGCTTATCCTAGGACTCTGTGGTGCCAAATGAGTGCACATGTCCAACCGAAAGACGTGGACAAAATGTTGATAGCACTATGCATAATCGCCAAGAATCAGGAACAACTGAATGCCCGTCTAAATGGTATGCATGAATATTTATTCATACCCTGGAATGCTGCACAGCCATGAGAAAGAGCTGACGACACCAACATGCTGCGACGTCATGAGATGTCACGGTGTCAGACATGAACAGAACGCCGGACATAAGAAGCCAGGCACAAAACAACGTAGATTGTGTGATTTCACTTATTTGCACTGCAAACATGGGCCATGTGAACGAATGGTATTAGAAGCTGGGATAGCGGGTATCCTTCTGGAAGCTAGAGACCGAAGGGGGCAGGAGCGGGGCTCCTGGGGTGCTGGGCATGTTCACTTTTGATCCGGGTGCTGGTTTCACTTGTGTGTTCCCTTTGTGAAGCTTCATTGAGTTCTTCACTTATGATTTTGTATTTTTCTCTAGGTTTGTTAAACCTCAATAAAAAATAACATGGATTTGAGAAGAAGAAAAAAAAAGAATTAATCCATGGGAAGCACTTCCTGGCCCATGGTATGAGCTGAATAAATGTTAGGTCACTGTCGTTACTGTTGTCCTTGTCACTGGTTGGTCTCTCCCACCCCACAACTCCCCTCCCTGTCCTCTCAGACTGGAAGAGACCCACATGTCTACAACCCTCGGTAGACAGAGCTGGTACCACCATCCAGAGACTGAGCTCATTTGTGGGGAGATGGAAAAAACCTCCAGGATTGTACATCTCAGCTCCTTCCATCACGAAATTAGCTAGCTACACACAAAGGCCAGGGGGCCAGAGAGTGTAAGAGTTTGCAGTTTAAGGGCTCTTGAGCAGCTAGAGCAGGTGTGGAGACATCGAGGCCAGGGAGGTGACCAGAGCTGGGGCCTTGCAAGGCTATCCTGAGGACAGCAGGAAGCCAGCAAGCGACTGTGTATATTGGTTGTGCATAGACAGGGTGATGATGCGTCCCGTTTTGCACCCTGGCTTTAGTGCAGAGAATGGAGGAAAAGGGAGGGAAAATATCCCAGGAGGCCTTCAGTGGCGGCCCAGACCAGGTCAAGGTGGGACCATAGAGCTAGACATGGAGGTTGCGTGGGACGTCATGGGGTTAGAGCTGACAAGGCTTGCAGCTCGTCCTGTGGCATGGAGGGAGGTGATGACCAGGGCCCTGGGCAGCCATGGGGATAATGGGACCCTGTCTTGTCGGGCACCGTGGGAGAAGCAGGATTGGGGGTGGTAGGTAAGTTAGGTTTGGGAAGCAGAGCAAGAAGAGATGAAATGCAGTGGGCAAAGTCTGTGGAGGGCCGGGTCACGGAAGGGAAGGGGAGCCATGTGCTCAGAGAATGATTAGGAGAGTGGGGGCCATGGAAGGAGGGTTTCTGGGGCTCAGTGGGGAGGGTGCACAGAGTGGGTTGTGGCCAAGGATAACAGCGATGTGGGGCCTGGTGGACTTAGCTAATCTCTACATTTGCAAAACTGTGAACTGGGTACTGGTGAATGGGAGGACCCTGTCCATGGGGAGAAGAGAGCCCAGCGCAGGGTGGTGGTGCCTGGGACATCAGCTGGACCACATGTGAGGAGCATTTGCATGATCTCCATCTCGTAGAAGGGGTTAATCCGAAACAGTGGTAATAATAGGGAAAGCATCAGCGGTAGACGTTATTACTGTTCGAAGGATCCATTGCCTCTCTGTACTCTGGGGGAACGTGACACTTCCCACAACTTCGCCATCAGGCTTGACGACCCGACCCTAAGTGAGGTGCACCACTTCTAAGAGGAAACTTTGTTACTGCAGCGTAGCGGGACCTCAGTGGACTGCCTCAGCAGCTCCTGGGTTTGGGGCGCTTCCTCTGCACCAGGTCCTATGGGGTTAATCCTCACACAACTCTGTGAGCACAGCAGCCAGACATGTGATTGCATTTATGTACAATTTGAGAAACATAAACTAATCCATAATGACAGAGAGCAGGTCAGTGTGGCTGCCTGGCGATGGGGCGGGGAAGAGGTGGGGTGGCAGGAGGGATCACAGTGGGGCTCGAGGAGACTTTTGGGTCGCCAGGTACCTTCGGTATCTTCATTGTGGAGAGCGCGTCACGAAAAGGTACCTGTCAGGACTTGTGGACACTGCATGTCAAGTGTATGTCAGTTTCAAGAAAACCGTTCTTAAAGAACACCCAACTCTGCTAGACTGGAATTCTAACGAAATTCTTATCCCTATCTCACAGATGAGGAAGATGGGGCTCTTCGGGATTAGAGCACTGGCCGACGGTCACACAGCTACCAAAGGGTGGATCCGGAAGGTGAGCCCGGTGTGCCCGAATCCCAAACCGTGCCTTTCAACCTTGAAGGAGTCCGCATGGCTGGCGGGGTCCGAACATGGGCTACATACAGGAACCCCAGAGCCAGCCCCTGCTTAAACATGGGGTTCCCCAAGAGTCACACTGGGATGAAGGGGAGGTGGGCAGACCCCAGGCCCCAGTTTTTGGAGCACCCACATCTCCTGGAAGAGTGGGGGCAGCGGCGGCGGGGGGATTCCCTCACTTAATGCCTCACCACAGCACTGTGAGGCAGAGTGCTGTTTCTATTGGCAGATGAGGAAACTGAGGCACACAGGAGCTACCTGCCCACTCAGCTAATCAATTCTCACAGCCAGGATACAAAGCCTGATCCTTAACAGTCACTGTCCACACTCTGCCCCCCAAAAGTACCAGTGTTGGACACAGGTCTGGCCTCTTTCCTGAAACCTTCAGCCAGGTGCAGACCCCTCCAGAATCCTCGAGTGGGCTTCAGTGATCACCAGGCCCATGGCCTCACTTCTCCTGTGGACAGCAGGTCTTGGGGACCACATTCTGTGCAGATCCGAGTGTCAGGGAGAGGACCGACCCATCTCCAGAGACCTAGGCCAACGATGCGGGGGGCTCTTTCCTAAAACAGCTTGGGGCCCTTGTTGGGATCCCTGGAGCACTAGGGGCAAAGCTGGGCAGGTGGAGACCCCAGGGCTCTGAAGAGGAGAGCTTCCAAAATGGCGCAGCCTGAGAGCCTTGCAGCAGGTCAGTGGGGGGTGCGAGGGGAGAGGTTCCTGGGTTGAGAAGGGGTCAGACTGTCCAACACCTGGGGTTTCGAAGAAGGGAATTCTAGAAAAGGTCTCAGGCTGCCGGAGCAAGAGGAGGAGGCCCTGGAGGAGAGAGCCGGTTGGACCAGTTCTCCCTGGGGTGAGGTGGTTGGGGCCCCAAGGGCAGGCGGAAAGGACAAGTCACAACTTTTCCTCTGACGCTGGAGGCAGGGGAGGCTATGACATGGGGTGTGGCGTGAGGGGTCGGGGTGCTCTAGGTGAGCCACGGGGGGAGTGGGCAGAGGCTGGCCTGGAAGAGGCTGAGGATGGGCTGAATGGTGGCCCTCCAGAAGCTAGGTCCACATCCTAATCCCCAGAATCTTGTGAACGTGACCTTATTTGGGAAAAGAATGTTTGATAAAATTAAGTGAAAATTCTGGAGATGAGATCCTCTTGGATTACTTAGGGAAGCCCCACCTCCAATGACAAGTGTCCTTATAAGAGGCACCCCAAGGAGAAGGCCATGTGATCACAGAGGCGGAGATGGGAGGGACACAGCCACAAGCCAGGGACCGCCTGGAGCCACCAGAAGCTGGAAGAGACAAGGAAGGATCCTCACCTGGAGCCTTGGAGGGAGCATGGCCCTGCTGACACGTGCATTTCAGACATCTGGCCTCCAGACACTGAGAGACTACATTTCTATCGTTTTAAGCCACCCAGTTTGTGGTCATTTGTTACCGAAGCCCTAGGAAACCAAAACAGCGGAGGTGAGAACTGGCCTATTACAGATTCTTCCGCTGTACAGCGCAGCCCCTGGGTGGGAAAGGAGGTTCACAGACTGGCAGGGGGGCGAACGGAGGGAGAGGAGGGGAGCGGGGCAGCAGTGTGGCGGCCTCGGGCAGGCTCAGGTGGGGCGGGCACAGGAAGGCCTACAGAAGGCGATGGATGGCCAGGGCTGCGGGCAGGAGGTGGGCAGAGGCCTGGAGCTCTCAGAGGGATGGGAGAGCCAGGCTCCAGGAAGGGGTTTCAGGAAAGGGCACTTTCAGGAGATGGCAGGGCCTGGGAAAGGATGTGGGAGGATGGCCAAGAAGGCAGATAGGGAAAACCCCAGAGCTGCCGATTGCCGGGGGGCAGAGGCCCGGGAAGAGGCAGGGCCAGAACAGGGCACAAACCTTGCCAAACTGGTCAAAGATGGACACTTCGATGGCGGGGGTCATCACCGAGGGCTTCCTGTAGGGGCCGATGGTGGTCAGCGCTGTACACACTGTTTCTCATGTACTTCTCACAACAACTCCATGAGGGACTGTGCCCATTTCACAGATCCTCATCTGTGAAGGCTCCAGGGGAAGTAACCGCCCAAAGTCAGTTAACTTGCTGGTGCGTGTCAGACCCTGAGAGGAAGCCATGTGCCTGACCGCAAAGCTGGCCTCCTACTGAGCACCCTGGCCTGCCCTGGGGAGGCTCCCCGGAGTGGGGTTCTGAGGGAGCTCTAGAATGGGAGCCCACCAAGGGGTGCAGAGCTCACTCTGCCTTCCTGCCCTGCCTGCCTGTCCCTTCTCACCCGGGCTCGGGACCTCTGTCCCTCCCACTGTGCTCTGGGTCCAATCTGTCCCTTCTGCAGTCCAGGACCCTGCTGGGCCCAGCTCCACATCAAAAGCCCTTTCCTGCTTCCTGCCTGGCCAAGGCAGTTTGCTCTCAAAGCTGCTCTGTGTCCTCCTTTTTTTCAAACAATGTGTTTTTAATCAATTTTAGAATAAAACCCAAACTGAATTCTTGAAAACAACAGCAAAGAGAAATAATAATAAAAGCATCCCAGCTCCAGCAGCCGCTCGGGTTCACCCTCCCTCCCTCTCAGATAACCTACCTCCTCAAGCCTGTAGTTCCTGCTTACCAAGCCTTAATATCCCCAAACTGCCCCCTCCTCCACTGAGTCTCTCCACCTCTGGAGAGCCCATACCCCGTCCCAACAGCTCTCCCAGCCTCCCACCTGACTCTCCTCCAAACGGGTCCCGGACTGTCCCCCAGGAATGTAAAGGGCAAATCTATCTCCAGTAGTGTCTGTTTCTCAAAATTCATCAGGGACTCAGCATCCCCTAGGGGCAGCGCCTAAAATCCTTAGCATGGCATCCAAGGCCCCAGTGTCCCATCCTCACCTGCCCCAGCCTGATGCCCCACCATGCACTTGACCCCCTGCCTTTGCAGATATTGGTCCCTCTGCTCAGGACAACCGCCCTCCACCTGTCCACTAGGCTAATTCAACTCCATCCTCGAGACTCAACCCAAATAGCTCCCCCTGTTCACTGACCCTCTCCTGCCCTTCCCAGGCACAGAGCAGACCTCCTGCCACTGTCACAATAGTGTGGAACTTGGTTCCTTCATTCGCCTGGTAAGTGCCAAGTCTCATGCTAGGCACTAGGGTACAGTGGAAAACAGTACTGATCCAGCCCCTGCACCCTTGGAGTTTATGAGCCCTGCCACTGATACGTAGGTAGACCAGGAGTCCCCCGGAACAGGTCCCACCTGCATCCACAGAGCCACGCTTGGTGCCCACATGCAGTGTATGCTCCTTAAACTTGTTTGTTGATTGACTGACCGACCAAACGAGTGAATGAATAACAATAACCCTTTCTCTATTCACTCTCTGGCTCCTGGGCAGGGACTGTGTTGGCCTCAGAGTTAAATCACCTGCTCACAATAGGTGTTTAGTTCTAGGACACATTGTTCCCCCAGGGGAGGGGAGTGTATAGGGTAGGGACCCTGAGGGATGAGGAAACTGAATGCTCCTGGTCTTCCAGGCTGGGGACCCTAGGAGTCTGCACCCCTCTCCTGCCTCCTCCCACACTCTTTCTGAATTCAAGGGGAGATGGAGACCTTGAAGGGACTGCCCTGGTCCTCAAGGGACTCCAGCTTGGAGGAGGGGACTTGAGGGAGGGCCCTCATTGAGCTGCCCTAAGTTGTTCCCTGTCCCACCGTGACATCAGTCACTCCCCGCCAGGGCTCTGCCCAGCAGCCTCAGAGCTTGCAGCGGGGATCAGGAGCACCCAGGGGCCCCACACGGGATGGGCAGGGCCTGGCTCCTTCCATCTCCCCCTTCCCCCTGGCTTTTTTGTATCCTTTTCTTTTAAATAATATTTTACTGTTTGGGTGGTGATTGCTACAAAAATAGTCTATGTTTGTGCTACAATTTAAAGAGTACCCAGGTATATAAGGAAACAAGGTCAGTCTCCCTGCCCTCCCTGCAGCCCCACTGCATCAAGTTGACTTCACTGAGAACACTTAGGTTAATCATTTGGCACGTGACTTTCCACTCACGACACCACCCCCAGGAGAGTTCTTATGAAGATGGAACAATAGTAAATGTGTTCCTTTAGCACATGCTTTTTTTTTTTTTTTACTTACAAATATCCACGGACATCATTCCAAGGTAAGTATACAGAATTAACTCCTTCTGTCTAACTGCTGTGTAATGCTTTGTGTGGATGTTTCTAATAATTTGTTTAAATGGCACACTATGGACACTTTGGCCTTTTTATATTTTTCATATGATGAGGAATGCTTCAATAAACATCCTGCTACACATCCTTACATTTTTAAAAAGATTTATTAGTTTATTTTAAAGGCGGGGAGGGGCAGAGGGAGAGAATCTCAAGCAGACTCTGCACTGAGCGTGGAGCCCAAAGCAGGGTTCAGTCTCACGACCCTGAGATCATGACCTGAGCTGAAACCAAGAGTTAGACGCTTAACCGACTGAGCCACCCAGGTGCCCCATCCTTATATTTTTAATAGGTCTTGCCATTGTACTTTCTCAAGCAGTCAGACCAATTCACAAGTGCTCTAAGAGCCTGTCCCCCAACACCCTTGCCAACTCTAGGTGTAGTCAGTTGTCTAAACTTTTGCCAGTATCCTGGGGAAAATTTGACATCTCGTTTTGAAATTGTGTTTCGACTAGGACTAAGGTTGAACACCTTTCCATGTATCAACTGGCCTTTTTAATAGCCTTTTCTACAAGTCTTTTGAGTCTAATCCTTCATCCAGTTTTCAACTGTGGCATCTTTATCTGTAAAAATCACTTTGGTAGCAACTTTTTTAATGTTACTGATATTCTTTGTTATATGTACCTCAAGTATTATAGCCCAGTGCAATTGTCTTTTGCCATATGGAAGTTCATATATACTTAAATCATTTTTAACTTTTTATTTCAGAAATTTGAAAACATACTCAAAAGTAGTAGGAACAGTATAATAAACTCCCAGTGTACCCACCTTTGAGTTCCCACAGTGATCAAGGTAAGGCTGATTTCCCCCCAGTATGAAGTTTTCCTTTTGATGTTGCTTGTAGTGGTTTTTGCAGTGCAGAGATTTTTGCTTTCAGGTAGTCAAATTTCTTACTTTCCTTTTGTGACTTTTGGGCTTTGTATAATTCTTAGAAAGGTCTTTCCAGGCCATGATTATTAACAAAACAAAAACAGATTCTTCCACTACTTCTAAAACATGATTCGTTGTTTGTTTAAATGATGACATAGTATTTTTTCACACGGAGGACCATAATTTATTTAACCAGTCCCCAATTACCGAACATTAAAGTTGCTTCTGGTTTTCCTCTATTTTAAATCCTGCTGTACTGAGCAGCCGTCCCTGACTTCCCCCTGCACCTGGATTATTTCCAAGCAAACCCCAGACATCAAGTCGTTTCATCTGCAAATATAGAAAAGTTAAACAATTTTTATATTGTAAAATCTGTTAATCCTCTGGTCTTTTTGCATTGCACTTTTACTTTTATTTTGGATAGGCAGCATATTCACATGGCTCAACATTCCAAAAGGATGCATGGAAAATCTGCTTTCTACCCTGTTCTCTATCTGCTCTGTTCCCCTCCTGGAAAACAATCAGTGTTATCAGCGTCTTGTCTATCTTTAGAGTCATTATTTACATATGTCAAAGTGAATTATGTGCTTTTTCCTGCTTAAAATACAATTGATAATCTACTTGAACAATGATCTGTTTATTTTAATTTTTAAAACATTTATTTATTGGGTGCCTGGGTGGCTCAGTTGTTAAGCGTCTGCCGTCAGCTCAGGTCATGATCCCGGGGTCCTGGGATCGAGCCCCGCATCGGGCTCCCTGCTCCGTGGGAACCCTGCTTCTCCCTCTCCCACTCCTCTTGCTGTGTTTCTCTCTGTCAAATAAATGAATAAAAAAATCTTTTAAAAAATTTATTACTTTTTATTGCTTAACAACTTTTTATAGGTAGCACCCCAGCTCTTTTTTATAGCTACCTACATTCCTCGTTGCACGGACATACAGGGAGCTCAGTTACCCTGTCTCTGCTGGTGGACTTTTAGGTTCATTCCAGCTACAGACAATTTTGCAGTGAAAAGCCTGATGCATGCACCCTACATATCACTTCTGTGTGAGGGTATCTGTAGGATAAATGTGCAGAAGTGGAAATGCTGAGTCAAAGGGAACATGTATTTATATGTTTGACAAATATTGCCAAATTCCTTCTATCAAGTTTAAATCCGTTTACACCACCAGCCAGCCAGGCGGGAGGGTGTATGTTCTCTCCCACCCTTGCAAACCTAGTGTGTTACCAAACCTTGTTGTCTCTGCTGATCTGGTAAGTGAACAATAGTATCTTCGGAGATAAAATTTTCATTTATCCTTATAAGGGAGTTTTGAGCATCTTTTCACGTGTTTAAGATACCATTTGAATTTCCCCTTTTCCTATGAACTGTTTCTTCATATCCTTTGCCTATTTCTCCCTATTTGAGTCATTATTGGTTCATTCAAAAATGATTTGTGGGACCCCTTTTATGTATTAGAGAACTCATCCCTCTGCCTATGTTATGAGTTGCACAACCCACCCTCACCCCTGCACACCGCACTCCCAGTTTAAAATTTCTCTTTTGACTTGCCTTGTGGTAGTTTTTGCGATGCAGAAATTTTTACTTTTTTGAGGCTTTAGGTTTTGTGTAATACTTAGAAAGGATTTCCCCATTCTGGTATTTATGTTTTTTGTTTTTTGCTTTTTCATTCTCCCATGGGCTCATTCAGCAGTTACAAAACATGATTTGTTTTTCATGGTGGGATAGTATTTCATATGGGAAGACCGTTATTTATTATGGTAGCTGAACATTTAAGCTATTTCTGATTTTCCTGAATTATAAGTCATACTTTCAGTGAAGAGCCTTGTCTGTAAATATTCTTTTTTTAAAAAAAAAGATTTTATTTATTTACTTGAGAGAGAGACAGAGAGAGCATGAGCAGGGGGAGGGGGAGAGGGAGAGGGACAAGCAGACTCCCCGCTCAGTGGGGAGCCCGACGTGGGTCTTGATCCCAGGATTCTGAGATCATGACCTGAACCCAAGATCATGACCTGAGCCAAAGTCAGAAGCTTAACTGACTGAGCCACCCAGGTACCCCAGATGTCTATTTCGTTAGGCTAGATTCCTGAAAGAGACCTTCATTCTGTCCTCAGACTGCCCTCCAGAAAGCTGGGCTGCACTTCTGCCACAGAAGCATGTTTATTCCTCTCAAAATGACCTCAGAGCCTAAAGCAGAACAGCAGGAACCCAGGGTGGAGGATTCTCTCCTGTCCTGAGGGAGCCTTTCCTTGGCTTCTCAGCCATAGAGCAGATTACGTGAAATATGCTGGAGGAGGGGGCGAGGCAGGATGAGACCCGAGAGAGAGAGAGGGAAAACCCACAGTAGCTGCTGGGGTCTCACTCAGAGCCTACCTACTCTTACTTTACACACACTTCTATATTCCAATAAATTTGTGACCTGGCTTTCAAGAGCACAGCAACAAATTAGGGAGGGGAAGCAAGACTGCTGCTTAGAGGCACCCTGGTCCACTATACAGTTGCCAAAGGAAGAGCAAGTGAAAGTATAATAAAGTGGAATCAGAAAACACCTAGTCCCAGGGCGCCTGGGTGGCTCAGATGGTTGAGCGTCTGCCTTCGGCTCAGGTCATGATCCCAGGGTCCTGGGATCGAGTCCCACATCGGGCTCCCGGCTCAGCGGGGAGCCTGCTTCTCCCTCTGACCCTCTCCCCTCTCATGCTGTTTCTCTCTAAGAAAAAAAAAAAAAAAGAAAACACCTAGTCTGGACCATGCAGCACAGTGCTTAACTGTCCCACAGATCCCAGTAATGGATAAGGAGGAGCCGATTAGATTGGGTGATCTCTAAGTGTGCTTCTCAACTTGAGATTCTGGCAGGCATCTTGAATATTGTGGTAGGCAGATTAATGTCCCCCTTCCCAAAGATGCCTCCTCCTCCTCCTCCTTCTTCTTCTTCTTCTTTTTTTTTTTAAAGATTTTATTTATTTATTTGTCAGAGAGGTGAGAGAGAGCATACACAGGGGGAGCTGGAGAGGGAGAAGAAGGCTCCCCGCTGAGCAGGGAGCTCGATCCCAGGACCCTGGGATCATGCCCTGAGCTGAACGCAGATGCTTAACCCACTGAGCCACCCAGGCACCCCAAAGATGTCCTCTTCTTAATCCCACGAATCTGTGACTATGTTACGCTATGTGGCAAAGAGGAATTAAAGTTGCGGATGGAACTGAAATGGCTAATCAGCTGATCTTAAAATAGGGAGATTATCTTGTTGGACAATGTAATCACAAGGATTTTAAAAGTAGAAGCAGGAGGCGGAAGAAGAGCTAGTGTTGGATTGACACAATGTCAGAAAGATGGGGCCATTGACAGCTTTGAAAAATGGTGGCAGCCACACACCAAGGAATGTGGAAGCTGGAAAAGGCAAAGAAGTGGATGCTCCATAGAACCTCCAGAAGGAGGCCCTGTGGACACCCTTGAGTTTAGCCTAGAGAGACCCATTTTGGATTTGACTAATGAAACTGTAAGGTAATAAATGTGCATTGTTTTAAAGTTTGTGTTAATTTGTTAGAACAGCCAGAGGAAAGGAATAGGGACATCATCTGGTACTGCCCAGCAGAAAGATGCCCCTAGAAGAAGAGTGCCTTGCTCTTGGCTGCACAGCGCCTGGACTCCGGACGAGAAGCGCATGCATACTCCTGGCTCTGGCCTTTCTTTTTTTATTTTTTTAATTTTTTTTTTTTTTCTTCCCTAAGTCCTGCGGTTCTCTGCCTTCTTGATGATGAAGGTATTACCAAAGCTAACTTGTGTCCTGGCATGATTCAGTTATCTGGAACATTCATCTCCAGGCGTTGCTAGGTGTCTTTCTGGGTGAGTAGGGCTCGCCCCCCACCCGCAACTCCAAGGGCGAGGCTCCGCGCCCCTCCCTCAGTGACACGTGCTGTCCAGATGTGGAGGGGCGGGGCGCTGGGGCTGCGGGCCCCAGGGGGGCGCTCGGGGTGGGGGGCGCAGGGCACCCGGAACCCAAGCGCGCTTCCAGGGGGCGCAGCCCGGCCGTCGGCGGAGCGGCTCCCCACCCGCGGGGGGCTCCGGGGAGGCTGCGGGGGGGCGGGCGCGGGACGGGTCCCGGCGGAGCTGCGGGCCGGTGGCCTGAAAGGGGTTAACCCGGAGGTGGTGGGGTCAGGTTACTTCCCTTTAAAAAGACGGGGAAAGGAGGAGTCAGGCCCTGGTGGGGCAGCTGTCGGTGGCCGCCTGACTCGGCGGCGGCGTCGTCGGGGAGGAGGCTCCCAGCCCGCTGGGTGGAGGGCGTCTGCGGCCCCAGGCAAGTGGAGCGTGCTGGAGGGGCTGCGGAGGGGCTGCGGGGCTGCGGGCGCAGAGGGGCTGCGGGCCGGGTGCAGGGCTGCGGGGCGGCAGCCGGAGTGAGCGAGGGACCGGGACGCAAGCGTGAGCAGAGGACCCCACATCTGCTGCCGACGCCCCCTTCTCGGACAGGTACACTGAGGTTCAGGGAGAGCGAAAACTTCTTCTTTTCTGTTCTTTTCTCCGGCCCCTCCTCCTCCTCCTCCTCCTCTTCTTACAGAAGTTTATTCCTAAATGTACAACAGGTTCCAAGACAACACTGGGTTCTAGATTTGGGTGGCAACGGATGTTGTGGCAGGGACCCCAGATGTTTCCGCAGGAATGGAATGAAGCATCGCCACCGCTCCAGGCACAGGAAGGGCTTACTGGGGCCAGATTTCTTCATTCCACCTGTGGCCAGGGGGCCCCTGCCCGGGGGCTTCGTTCTTAGCTCCTTGAGTTTCTCCTGCTCCCGTCTGTTCCTGCCTGACCGCCTTGCCTTGACCACCTCCTTGGCCAGCTTCTTGGGCTGCTCCTTTGCGCAGGAGCCGGTGTCTGCGGCCCCTTCCCCAGGGCCCACCACCACAAGTGCGAGGAATTCTTTTGGCAGAGATCCCGCTGTGATCTTGTGGCCTCCTAGCCCGCTTCCCTGTGGAGCCTTGGAGTCTAGACCATTCCTGGAAGAAGGCGAAGCTGCTTCCGTTTCACAGATGGGGGGCAGGCCCAACTGTGTGAGGCAGCCCAGCCCCCACCCTGGGTTCCCACCACCCCACCCCAGCCTCTGGGGCCAGCTCCTTATCACTCCCACATCCCTAAGTCAGGTCCTCCAGCCCCTCTGCTTGAAGTTTTATTGCTAAGCCTTCTGAGGAGATCGCGGGGGTCCCCACATTGAAAGGGGCCGGGGGATTGGAATTGGGTATAGTTCCTGGGCTTGTGACTCTGGTGGAAGGTCCAGAACCCCTTGCTGGGTGCTGCCGGACAGTCTGAGAGGGATGGCAGGGACGGTGGGTCAGCTGCTCACACCGAGGCCCCTTGGTGCCTTTATCCCCACTGACAGCCATCATCACCTGCCTGGGCCCCCCTAGGTATCTGTCATCAAAGGCCCCACAGGGGCTCCAGCTGCACCCATGGAAGTAAGGTCAGGGTCCTCCACAGGCCTGTGTCTGGTAGGAGCCCCCACCGTGGCCCTCCTGCCAAGAAGTTCCACTTCCTAAAACCACCCCCAGCTTCCGGTCCTGGTCTGGAGGCATGGAGCCCATAGCCCATTGGCAGAGCCCCCAAGCTGGCCTCCATCAGATCTTCAGTCTCTAGGCCATTCCCTGCAACAGCCGCTTCAGCTCCATGACCCTTAATGTGCCTATAAAATTCAGAAGGGGGGCACCTGGGTGGCTCAGTCAGTTAAGCATCTGACTCTTGGTTTCAGCTCAGGTCATGATCTCAGGGCCCTGAGATCCAGCCCCGTGTCAGCTGCGTGCTGAGTGTGGAGCCTGCTTGGGATTCTCTCTCTCCCTCTCTCTCTGCCCTTCCCCCCCCACCCCCGCACATGCGCATGCGCTCTCTCTCAAAAAATAAATAAATAAAAATAAAAATTCAGAAGGGACACACAGTCCCCCTAAAAGATGATCAGACCTCTCATCCTGCCCAGATCGGCCTTTGTAACTTGCTATCATGTTGTTATGCTAAAAAGTGCTTGTCTCCTCCAGGGCCCAGGAGAAAATGTAGGGTGGGGTAGGAGAACGTTTTCTGAGATTGGGAGGGTGCGTGTGTAGTTAAGGCTGGAAAAGCTGCCGGTAACTAGCTGTGTGACCTCGGGCAAGTCACTTCATCTCTCTCTGCTTCGGTTTCCTCAACAGCCAGCCCACCGGTGGTGATTACCCTGGTGGGACCCATAGTATATGCTCAGTTACACAGATGGGAGCAGCCAGGCAAGCTCCACAGCCCAGAATGGTCCCTCCATGGCTGGTGTACCACCCCCGAGCCCACCAGGGCCTCTCCGCTCCTTCCCTCCTGAGTGCGCTACATTGGGTTAGAAATCCATAGCAGGAGCTAACTTCCTATCAGGTCCTTCTGAGGTTCTCACAGGATGGACAATGTCTGATGCTCCCAGAGGAAGCACCCTGGGGGCTGGCCCACACCCAGCCTCACACAGCTGTGGATGGAGGCCTCAGAAGCTTGGGAGTAGGCCAGGGGCTTGAGGGGCCAGAGTGTGTCCTATGCTGGGGCCCTAGCCTCGTCCCCACCTCCCTCTCGCTGTTTCTTCAGGACAGACAGGTGGGCTGCAGGTTGTCCCTTAGAACCCAGCCTGCCCAGCCTTGCAGGTGACAAGGGGCAACTGAGTGAGCGTTAAGTAGCAGCTTACCCAAGGGGTCTGTGAGGGAGCCTGGATCGCACCAGACTGCAGGTCCCGGGCTCTCCCCACCACACCCCCTCCCAGGCTCCTGGCTTTCCCATGTTGGAATAGAAGGCAATCTGTGCCCCCCACATCTGAGACAAAGGTGCCTTTTCTCGTTCAGTTGAGGTCTCCTACATGTGTGCCTTAAATATTCTCCAAGTTGGTCAACCTTATTTTTTTTTTAATTGAGAAGAACTTTTGTTCTCTAGACCAAAACAAAGACAGGCAGAAATATATAAACCCATAGAAAGGAAGCTTTGATTGAGAAGGGGTTGGAGGTACTCAGCTTCTCCCTCATCAAGAGATTAACAGTAAAAGGAACACACACATTTTGCTCACCTGCAGAAAGGTCCCACTCCAAAGACAGCTCACAGGGGACCCCAGCCCCAGAACCAGACAGGGTGGAGCAATGATTTCCAAAGTGAGTGCAGTGATACAAGATGATTTTAGAGGCTACCTTGATGAATAGTTTTTAAATCAATAATCATTAATTAAAATGTATACAGGAGAAATTATAACTTAACACATCTAACCATGAGTTCCTCGTAATTATTGCTCTGAAGGAGAGTAAACAGTGGACTGATTTAAAGAAAAATATTGGGGTGCCTGCATGGCTCAGTCAGTTAAGCATCCAACTCTTGATTTCGACTTAGGTCATAATCTCAGGGTCGTGAGATTGGGCCCCGTGTCAGGCTCCATGCTCAGCATGGAGTCTGCTTGAGATTCTTTCCCCCTCCCTCTCCGTCCCCCTCTGCTTCTCCCCCCACTCGTGTGCACTCTCTCTCTCTCTCTCTCTCAAATAAATAAAATCTTTAAAAAAAAAAAGAAAACTATTAAGTGAATAATATACAAGAGGATCACAGATATGGCAAAAGTCACAAAGGTGATTTGTGTCTATGATCCAGGAGCCCAAGAAGGAGTATGAGGTATGGGAGGGAAATCCGCCCCCAGGATCAAGTGTCTGAGCTAGGGCGAGTTCCGTCTTTAACCCTGGCTCATTTTCTTTTTTTTTTTTTTTAAAGATTTTATTTATTTATTTGAGAGAGTGAGAGAAAGAGCACAAGAGGGGGGAGCGGGAGAGGGAGAAGCAGACTCCCTGCTGAGCAGGTAGCCCGATGCGGGACTCGATCCTGGGACTCCAGGATCATGACCTGAGCCGAAGGCAGTCGCTTAACCAACTGAGCCACCCAGGCGCCCCCCTGGCTCATTTTCTTATTGATGCATCCATTCCACAAGCAGGTGTTATCTGCCCGCTCTGTACTAGGTGTTTCCTGGTGTGGGGGATACTGTCCCCATGGTGCTGAGAGGCTTGGGGGTGCTGGGAGGGCTGTCCTGGGACGGCATCACTGAAGTGAGCCTCCAGGATGATGGGTGAGAGAAACACAGAAGCTTTCCAGACCCAAGGAGCAGCTTGTTGCTGGTGGGGAGGGGGTTGCGGTACGTGGCTAGAAGGGGGAGAACATGGTGGGCTTGAGGAACAGAAAGAGGCTTGTGGGCAGAGTCCAGAGGGTGACAGGGGAAGAAAGCTTGAGATGAGACCAGAAAATCTTGGAGGGCTGGATCATGCCTGACCTAAAAGCCATGGCAAGGATTGTGTACATGATCATTCGTTTAGCCAGTATTTACTGGGCTCCTGCCCTGTGCTGGTATTGGAGGGGCTTATAAAATTAGGGTCTTCCTTTAAGGTGCTCGGGTCTAGTGGCCGGCTTTTGAACACACAGATGGTCTATTCCTAAATGCTGTTTTAGAAATGTGGAACAGAGGCCAGGGAAGCACAGAGGGGAGAGAAGAAGGCCGTGACATTTGAGCTGGGTTTTGAAGGATGAGTAGGAGTTTGACAGGAGGGAGAGGAAAGGCATTCCTAGTAGCAGAAACAGGATGAGTAAAGGCACCAGCAGGTTTGGGGACATGGCTGAGCCTGGAGCCACAGTAGGCATTGGAAAAAGGAGAGGCCAGATGGTCAAGTTCACGGAAGGTCTTCAGACTCAAGACTGAGGTTTCATTCTGCAAGCAGTGAGGAGCTGGAGACCGAGCTTGAGCAGGAAAGGAAGATCCTTCTGCTGAGGTGTGTGCCGAGGCTGGGGACTGCCACCACTACCCAGAGCGGTGTGAAGATGGCCAGGCTTGGGCCCTAGCAGGGGGGAAGCTGCGGAGCATGCCCCTCTCTGTGCCCCCCAGCCTGAGCTGGCCTGGTGCCCAGAGCAGAGACCCCTTATTACAGGGCAATAAGCTGCCTGCTGCGCCAACTTTGAAAACT